TGAGCCAGGTAGGCCACGTCAGCCAGGCGAAGCCAGATAAGCCATGTCAGCCAGGTGAGCCATGTCAGCTTAAATGAAGCAACGGTCGGGTGTACTGGCTTAGTGTTGTTTCATGCTAGGGTTGCTGAAACAATTAAAGAGTATAGGTGGTGACACCGGTATCCGGAAGGCCGTATACAATGCCCTCACTATTGTATCTATCCGTAACGTAAGTCGGGATTATAGCTTCATCTATAGTACTAATGTATAATAATATTGCTAATTCTGAATCACGACGATGACCATCTCAACAAACTTTCCAACCAAGCTTTTATATCATAATCAACAAATCTCAGCTTCTAATAAGCAGACTGGATAGGATAAAATAAAAACTCACCCTAACATAGAAATGCGCAAGATGGTAGATCGATGAAATTCAAATCATACCAACTCTCTCATTATCTCCGTCATCCCCACTAATCCCCCATAGGCTTAAGTAATTCTTCTCAGATTCTTTAAGATGAGTGTCAACCTGGATAAGATACTCCTCGATCTTATAGAATAAATGATGGATCTGCTCTTGAAATTGTTGTAAGGCATGTTTGGAGTCTTTATTCCACATGAGTTCTGCTTTGAGATAGCTGATCTCATAGGATAAGTCCTCGATCTGTTTATCTTTGCTCCGGTGTAGGGACTTTGACTGTTGTAGTCGCGATGGAAGTCGCTCGATATTAGACGTTGTACCTCCAAAGCAGGATACTTGGTGATCCGAGGGCCCGATCTCCTCCCTGATGGAATATAATGAAGGTGGTGATCTAGACATGATCTGATGTGATTCTTTCACACACTCTGAACATGAGATTCTGATAATGTGAGATGATATATATATAGACCGATGGAGAGAAGTGGAAAGTGGCTGGTCCTAGACCAGTAGCTGTAATACCATATAATACACTAGTATTTGAATGAGGACATGTTGTGTATATAAACAGCAGATGAGAAAAGTGGAGAACGAGGCCTCTCTTGTGCTAATGTACAATATGGCCAAAAATCATTCTTACTTCTTGCCTCGAGAGATAATAGATAAAATTATTCAGGCTCTGCCTCCACTTCCTGCAGCTGCAATATTTGATGCTTTGAGCATAGCCCCCTGCACAAAGGATCTTGCATGTCAAAGTTTGTGGACAGCAATTTTCAAGGATGAGAGATGGACAAGAAGTTACTGATCACGGTGGCTGTCCTGTCCTAATTGGAACAGGTCTGGGTAGTCTACACCATATGGGCCGAGCCCATCCGACTCAAGTGATCCTGCTTCCTGGAAGTTACGAGGGGGAAGAGAGTCACCTGGAAAGTCTGCTACTCCTATCACTGAAGAGCAACTATACTTATAAGAAGAGAAAAGGGGAAATCAAGTTCCCAGGAATTTGTCTTAGGGTTCAGGCTGCGATAAGGCCATCACAAGAAGTGCATCTGAAGAAGAAGTGCTTAAAGCAATTATTCCAGAGCCCGAGAACGGAACTTGCTACAAAATTCAGCTTCTATGAAGCTGGAAACATAATATCATTTTCGAGTTCAAGTGTTATCGACATGGGTATTGGACCGACTGAGACTGAGATAGTAGATCTCATATGTGTTATTTATCTGGCGTTGGCCAGAGAAACGCTGAATAAACTTCTAGGGGAGTTCTCATCTGTTGGAGAGCTCTCAAACGAGCTAAAATTTCCCCAGAGCTTACTGCGGAGCGCTGCAATAAAGTTGCGAAAAATCGCTCTTCACTCGGTGGCTCTTATCTTGAATACTAGTTCTATATGTTGTTCTTGCTCATTAATTGCCATGCTACGCGGTGCGCGGGAATGATAAGAGGTCGTCCGTACAAAGAGAAAAGCAAATTAGAAGTTGACAAAAGACGGAAAGGTGCTTTTGAAGAAACATTACGTATGTACTAGTGAAATAGAACACCACTGAGCTGGTGACGATTATCGGCTTGATGGCTTGTTAATTTCTATATATCAATTTCGATAGCTCTGGTAACATGTATAAAGAAGCTGCAGACTATCAGTGTAAGCTACAGCATCTCTAAATTAAAGTGCACAGATCGATCATTTCCCTTATTCTGCTCAAGCAAGTTTCTGAGCAGATTGTTACAAAAGGATTATTGTATTTGTAGGGAAGCAGTGTAGGAGGTATTACTCTTTTTATTGAGCTAGTCTGCGGGTCTCCTTGATGTACGCTGTCTGTAAAATCATGGTCTTGTGACTGTCTTTTCAGTCTTGCTTCTTGATCAATTTGGATAAAATATAGATCTGCAATTGAGCTATCATTACAACCATCATCTTTTAATACCAGGATGCAACACTTTCCCAAAATCCTTATCGAATGAAGACCGGCAAGTAATGATTGCGTACTGGAAAGTGTAAATAAATGCCAATTAGTAAAAGCCTTCGAAGAGACAGTTTGGCTTAAACATTTTCACGTAATCGTTTGGACTGATGATTTTTGAATCCATGTAATTAACTTGATTGTGAAGCACGTATGTGCTGAGCCCTACAAGGGACCGGCCATCGGATGTCGAGTCTCAACACGCCACTGAACCAAGTGCGCCACGTGGGCTCACGTGATATATCTATATTTTACCATAATAATAGATTCATGCTTACGTTGCTACAGTCACATTTCAAATGACGTACTTCGCATTCCTTGGTCAAGGTTTATCACAAGTCACCGCATGGCCAGGATCTCGTAAGGAAGAGTTGGTAAGGAACGGCTGAGGCTTCCTGGGTGAGCGTGTTGGCAGTACAGTAGACACCAGAAGCTAGTAACGCAATTTGAACCAAGGCTCTATACAAAGGCTGTGACAGAAGCTTATTGAAGAAGTGGACATTAACTAAAAGCCTCAATCGATCACCGCATAAGTCTCTGTTCCCTCAACACTAGGCACTAAAGGCATCCCTGAGATGCTCTCATTCCCACCAGTTCCCCAATCTTCACCCTCACTGCTGCGCTCATCCTCCCGCTCCTCGTCGCTATTTTCAGGAGGGGTATAAATGTGGCCGAGTGTCGTCTCAATCGTATATCGTAGAGTTTGAATGGTTGACTCATGTGCTAGTTTGATGTTTTGAAGCTCATCGATTACACATTGTTGTCTGTAGATTTCGCAAGACAACCCACGTATCTGATCTTGATGATTGAAATCTCCCAAAGAACCCGGCATCAGCATTTTGAGTAAACTATTGTTAAGCATACTCAAAGTTTGCATATGACTCTCCAGTTCCAGAACACGCCGCTTCTCCGCGGCATGCTGTTTTCGGCTACTCTCTAGATCCTGGAAGACTTGGGTAAGGTAAAGATGCAGTTGGTTGTAGATGAAATAAGTGTCTGCAAGCCTAGCCTGCAATTGAGAACGAAAAAGCTGCTCTGACTCGGCTCGCGAGATCTCTTCAGCAAGACGTAGCTCAAGATGACTTTGACGCATTCTAGACTGGCCTTCTTTTTCGAGGAAGTCCTTTACTAGCTGCTCAATGTTGACACCAGGATGAGTGTAATCCTGAAAGATAGTTAGAATTGTTGAAGAATGATGGGGATATCCCTTACCTGCATACTATCAACAGATGCTTCAGGCTCCATCTTGACAAGGTCCCCTTGGTGTTTGCTTTTTTTCCATACAATATTTTGTTATCCTTTTTTAGAGCAAGATATGGCATCTATATATGTTGTTTGGGCTGTCTCAAGTCTGACATGGCGTGCGGGGCTGTATTACCGCTTGTTCACCGCCTGAGATAGTTACTGTATTTTATCATCCTTACTGAAAGTCAGATAGATGGTTGGGATTCTTGCAGATCAATGCGTTCACAGGTGCCAGGACATTCGAAAGACAATTTTTCTGTAAACTTTACATTCTGTGTAGGTCTCGAGTCTTCTGATACGTATCTAGTGCTTTGCAACAAGTATTATAGCGACCGGTGAAGCTACCAATCGCCTCGACACCTTGGCATGAAGTGACAGATGTTTCACATTCTCTTAAGTATCACGGTAGTAGAGGTGCTATACATGTTACTAGAGCTCTGTTTCCTGTCTATGATCCGCATATTCTTCTACTTGAAACCCCTCAAAAATCCTGTTGTCTTTCTGCGCCAGGCTCTGCAGCATTAGTCTAAACTTGCTGTTGACATTTGCGAGTGATCGGTACATGAAGTCGATCTGTTGTTCCCTCATGGCGAGCTGATTTTGCAGGTGTGACAGGTGGATCTGCGTCAGATGATAATTCTCAAGAATTGTCATAGTCTCCCGACGGAAAGTCTCGAGATTCTCGATTTTTTCATTGAGAGCAGCGACTTCACCTGGAAGGTGACTTAGCTGATCAATAGCTGTTGTAACTTTCTTTGATTCCTTGGCACTCTCTATGAATGCTCTAACAAGGAGTTCACTGCAGCAGTCAGTATAGTGAAATACTAATTGAGACGAACACTAACTTAGTTGAGCTGCCTTTCTTGGTCTGGTTCATGGATAGACCAGTCTTTGTGCTCAAGCTCTCGTTTTCATTTTTGTTCTCGACTATGGCTTGATCACATAACGCACTTCTGGACTGAGTCAGGCAGATTCAATGTCATAGGAAGTAAAGCTCACCTTGCCTGCCGATCAGGGTGATGCTTAGACCTCGATCTGAGACGCGCCGAGAGTCCTTCTTGATGAGCTTCAGGCACCGTAGAAGTTTTGACTGAGTTCGGGGAAATTGTCGAGTTTGCAGAGGACTGTATCTCCGGAGGTAATAAGTCAAGTGGTAGTATATCGTCGTCACCAAACAACTCGGACATATCAAATTCATGATATTCAAACATGTTGCAAACACAAATCCTGCCTGTTGTTTACGGTATGATCTACGTGCTTGAGGCCTCTTATATAACAATTTGCTATCGAGGAAGCGCTTTCTTGATTCGTTACCGGCAGTGTGGTTCAAAGGATTATAGATACATCTTGGTTTACCGCCAACAGTAATTAATCTAAACAAAGACTTGGTCTTCGGGCGTCCTGCTCTGCGCTGATTCGCTATAGTAGGTCCACTTGGTAAGTTATCGGGTGAGGTACGCTCATTATCAAGTGAGTGTTTCAAAAAGCTGGGAGATACATGAATTTAGGCAGCTAAAATTTGTACATAAAGCACAGCCAAACTGTCTTAAGTTCTTTGGACATAGCCACCGAACGCTTGAAATCAGAGAGATCCTACAATGCGCCCAAATGTTAGTACAGAATGGCTTGACGTTGGCGCGAGCCAGGAGGGTGTTTTCGTTCGAGATTACGGCCGCCTGGAACAGGTCACCCTTGATCTAGCTCAACGCAGCCAGCAGACACCTCTTCTCACGCTATTCCTTGGAAGTCACACTAAAGAGATCGCACTACAATACTTATTTCCTAGTAATAATATAAGAAGAACCCGGGCAAAATCCGCAATAGGATTGCGATATGATTTGCTGTCCGCGAACAATCCAGAACCAATCCTTATCGCTGACGGCGAACCAGGAAAAGCGCCAGTTGATTTAGATCAGGATGCTTATCTTCGCAAGGCTTCTGACTACCCTATAACATGGGGCCCAGCCACGGCATCAGCTGCTTTGGGATTCCTTTATGCACGGCTTGTATTACTGTTCACAGATATCGTTTGCATCTTCGCTGATGATTTTCCGAGCCTGGCATCGATCGCTGACTTTCTAGTCAGCTGTGTCAAAGCAGGATCTGCATCATCTTTGCCGAAAACAGTAAGACCCAGGATTGTGGTGCTAGTCGCAGGTGACCCATGTGATCCAGCTAGCACTGCGTCAGAAGCAAAAGAGTTCTACCGCAAGCTACATACACCAGGCGCGGATCGCCTGCGCAGCTGCTTTGCATCAGTAAATTTAGCATCATTTGACCCCCGTTTACCTGCTGTAAGCCAATATGAGCGTCTGCGCACTTATCTCAAAGACCAGCTGAACCAGATTAAAGCAACAAGGCTAGATAACTGGAGTCTTTTTAGCGCAGCCCACCTGTGCGCGTACTTTCAAGCTGCTGTGAAGCATACAGCAGGATCTATAGAGCAAACCTTCGATTTTGTCCAGGCGACGAGAGAACACAACCCCGTACCTCGAGGGCTAGACCGTCGAATATCTCACTACCTCGATATCGGTCTCCAAAATAATTGCAGCCTTCAAGTCCTTTTAGCATCACTAATTTCTGCCCTACTGATGGATCACTACGTTCCGGGCATGGCCTGTAAGTATCATGCAGTGTTATAATCCCCCTATCCGCCAGAGTCGAGAATGTGACTGATTTTAACGAGTTTACTAATCAGCCACTTAGCGTTGAAACCACGGACTGTTTTTAGAAAGCTTTATAGGCCCGCTGTCATTGGTGGATTGTCTAATCACAATCGCGGGACCACGAAGCAAACCAAGGAAGACCTAATAATAATGGCTGAATTCGAATTCAAATCACAATATCATTGCTTAAAGACAAGCGGCCTTTCGGCAGTAGAGAGCCGAAGGAACTATCTCATGAAACGCAGCGATACGCTTGGTCGAATACAGTCCAATAAAATTTGCCTCTTTTGCCTAGTTCATAACGCGCAACATTCCCAGGCCTGTTGCCACGGGCTGTGTGATAAATGCGCTCAGCTATTTGGAATGCCGGCTTCGAACTTGGAATACCAATTTACTATCGCATTCTGTCCGCTCTGTCTTTCTCAGTCGCCATTAACAATCAATATTTTGCCACCAACCATGAATCCCAGTATCCTTGCTATCGACGGAGGCGGTGTGCGTGGAGGAATACCCCTCGAATTTCTTCTTCTGATTCAGGAACATCTCGGCCCGAAATGTGGAGTAGCTGATGTGATAGACTTAACGGTGGGTCCTAGTGCTGGTAAGTAGGCCATCTGCCGGTTCAATCCTCCGCCCCCTCATCAATTTTAGTGTGGACACGGAAAGTAGATGGCTAATTTAAAATAGGTGGGCTGATCAGTATGGGGCTTATAGCTATGGACTGGCCCGTGTCCACATGCTCAGAAGTCTTTGATCGACTCGCCCAGCGTATTTTTCGCGAACGCCGTGAGCCCGCGCTTAATCGAGCATTGCAATTGTTCCTCGGCAGGGGTTCATTCCTTGAAATCATACCAAAGTGGATCTCGTGGATTATGAGTGACAGCTGTTACGACGCTGCTATCTTTGACGCTACTCTCCAAGAAGTGTTTGGGCGGACCCGTCGAGCATTCCAGCCGCTCGGACAGGGTTCTCCTCTCCATTCCTACTCCAAGTCTAAATTTGCAGCAATCGCGACGAGTATCGGTAAGGATACCAAGTCATTTGTATTCGGAAACTTCAATCCTGTGGAGTGGTTAGACAAGGAAGACGGTTCGTTAATCCTTGCCCGCACGGGTGGGCAAGTTCTAATTGAATGGTGTTCAAGATTACATACTTTACCGATCGGCTCAGATGCACCAGGAGCCGTTGTTGTGGGAGGTGTAAGTTTACCACTGAGCCCGCAGCATCCCACGCTAATAGATTCTCCGACGGACAAGCGCTAGAGCAACAACTGCAGCTCCATTCTATTTCTCAGTTGCCAACGTCCAAGATATCGGCTCTTTTCAGGACGGAGGTCTACAAGATAATTTCGCCGCTGATATTGCTCGACGGCTTAGTCGTCGTCTTTGGCCAAGCAAAACAGGTATAAGCAAACTGATTTCTCTAGGGACAGGGGCAGAGGAAATACCTCGTGACCAAACTCCCCGGTTCCGCAATATCTTTCGCGACGGATTCTTACGCCGCGGGTACGATGCGTTTATGTCACATTTAGAAGGTCGGCCCAGATGGCTGAAATTAAGAGATGAATTGGACGCTTCAGCTAGATCTGACTATATGCGTCTCGACGTTTCTCTAAAGAACCTCCCTTCTACACTTGATAGTGCCGAGATGATCAGCGATTACCGTAACTTGGTAATTTCCCAGCTAGGCAGTGCCAGATCGGCCCGAGATGTTGCGATAGCTCTTCTGGTAGCGAGGTTTTACTTTACATTAGACAGGATACCGGACCGCATACCAGGATCTACGTTCTCCTGGTGTCACGGTGTGATCAAATGCAAAGGAAATACCTTTGAGATAATTGAAGCTATTCAGCACTTATACCCTGATGACCTGGAATTCGCTACCGACAAAGGACATCTCACCAGCTTCAGCCTTGGGGGTATCTGTAAAGCTTGTGGAAGATACTCACAGCCGGTATCAATTCTGATTCATCATCCAGATCAGGTTATAAACATCTATTTGCGTATTGACAAGCACAGAAAATGGAGTATCAGTGGCTTTCCGAATAGAATTTCATGGCATATTGAGGTACAGCATTTACAAAGTGGCTTTGGACGACCCGACCATGGGTACCCCTCGATTCTACCATGTGCAAGCTGCTCTAATGAGACCAGGGTATCGTGGCGTAAGGAGCACTCTTTGTCACGATCAGGCGAAGCGGAACAAAGGAATAAGAAACCTCGCCTATAATATGATTCAATTATAGCCTTTAGCTTTTTAATGACTTGTGACTTCTCCTCAAAGTGACTCCTTAATCAAATCCAATTTTTCGAGAAATCAATTTAAATAGCCCTCTCTGTCCTTCCTCAATGGTAATCTGTAGTGTCTGCCATCTTCCCGCCTACCACAGCGTCCAATATGAAGAATTTCGAAAGAGATATAAACTCTATCATAACGCATGCGTTTCAGATTCATGCAAAGCACGGCTGCAAGATCTATGTCTTGATACAAGGCAAAGGAAAGACTATTACCTTCAATTCTGAGCACTTTCCATGGCCCCTAGGAGACCAGCTTCTTGTAACTGCATCCCTCCTTAATTCCTGATTGAGGGCTAACCATACAAAAAATGCTAGATTCCGGGGAAATCAACCTTTAGGTACTCCGTTCCTGATTTGATCCAAGCTTTTGCTGGTCGCAGGGAGCGCAAGCTGTTCATTCAGATGGCAAGCTACTTTTGTCACCTAGGGGAGGCTTGGGGTCTTGTCCCTGTCGAATTGTCAAGGCAGCCTGAGGCGACTCTACAAGTAGGCATGGATCAGCAAGCTAATGATTCCATTACTGATATCGAGGATGGAACGGAATCGCAGGACATGTATTGAAGCTCTTTCGACAAGACTTGAAACAAGAAGGCAAGATCGTGTCAGGTATCTTAGGGATATGTTTCATAATTTCTTTGGTAATTTACAAGGTTTATTATATATAGGTTTCATCGATTTGTTGTTGCGTTTTCACCAAATGTCTGCCAGAATGCAACTTCTTGAGACAGTGTACTTGACCTCCCTACTTTTACCCTTTATACTGCTATTTGTTTACTCATGTTTTCGCTTTGTCTGTTACTGTTTTCAAAATAGTATCCTCTTATTCTCATCCACTACTGCCTATGTTCTGTATAAGAAGTATCTTATATACCCGCGGTTGAACCTGCCACTTCTTGGTATCAATAAACTTTCACCAATTCAGTTCTTAATTATGTTAATCTATTCTGGACTGACCTGCGCTTGCAATCTTTTGTGGGTAAAAACAGCTGACCAGGCAGCTTCGCGCGCAGCAAAGCTTTCCTTGCTTAATCTTTTGCCTCTATATCTTGCTGGTGGACATGAGTTCGGTGCACGCTTATTATTTATACCATTGGAGACATATGGGATACTTCACCGCACAGCAGGATGGATGGCTAGCATAGAATGTGCTATTCATATCATCATCATCTATGCAAAGCATAGGGATCAAGGCACAGATGATTCCAGGTTCTATGGCATTGTGGCAAGTACATCCGGAAATGGTCGAATTGGTTTTGATTAACAGTCCTAGGGAGGAAGTATGATTCTCGCTCTCCTATTTCTGCCAATGGTTAAACGAAGAGTGTATGAGGTATTCTTGGTAACACACCTAGCATGTGCATTTGTCGGGCTGTACGCTATATGGAAACACCTCCATATACAAAAGAGCAGCTCGGTTCGTTTAATATGGGTCTGTCTTTCCACTGTTGTTGTCACAAGCAGTCTCCAACTCTGCCGTATCTTGTATCGGAATGTTCACACACGCCGATCTGCACGGATAGTGTGTTCCTTTATAGGAGATGAGGTCATACGTGTCGCTATTCATATGCCACGTCCATGGGCTGTGAGAGCAGGCGAGCGGGTCAACCTTGGAATACCTGGTCTTGGAATTTTCTACATTTTCCAAGCACATCCTTTCTCTGTTGCCTGGTGGGAAAATGATACTGGGACTGGCTCCTCTCCAATTTACCTGATGTTCCGTGTCCGAAATGGCTTCACAAGGAAGATTCGGGGCTGCTTAAATCCCGGACAAGAATATCGAGCATGGGTCGATGGACCTTTCGGACCTAGTTCTTCCCTGCCTAATGATATGAGTCTCTATGGCCATATACTTATGGCAACAAGTGGCATTGGTATCGCAGCTCAAATTCCATACATCAAAGAGATACTACATCGAAGAAGCACAGCAGAAGCTTGTACGGAGCGTATCTCGCTCATTTGGGAGCTTGATCGATCAGGTGAGTATAGCGGTGCAGTTGACTGGCTACAGGAACTCATAAGTCAGGACCAAAGCTATGTGTGTTGCTTTGCTCTTTCAGACCCAATTGCAAATTTTAACATTTTTCAGGTTCTTAATATTGAGATATATACGGGGGTTAACATGATTACCGAAAAATTTGTCGCTCTTGGTGACCATGATCTTATTAAGATACACGCAGGAAACATTGATTGGGAGCGGAAGGTTCAAGACGAAAGCAATCGACAGAAAGGCAGACAGTTAGTGGCAGGTCAGTATTTGGGCTCTCGAGTACCTCACTTTTACTAACTTTACCAGTCTCCGCCAATCAGGACATTCGTAAAATATTACGCCAGATGTGCAGGGCTCGTCTCTACCATAATACAGAGTTATTTGAGCTTGAATTTCAACCATGGGAAACCGGCAGAGACTGGTGGTCATTTTTCACTCCCTGAGACGGCAGGATATGACGGAGTATAATAGGGCTTTGTTACTAGTGTGTTTTCCGTATATTACTGCAAGACCTCGGTTTCAAGCACGCATAATCACAAGCACTATATATGATATACAAATACAAGCATGATTTTTAAGACGCTTTGAGAGTTCACACATCATGTCAGTGGCCAATTTAAACCGTGCATCATGGCGCTCGCGTTGTCGTCAGCGTTTGTCAGCACACCTAGGTACATGATCTCTCACTGCGGCCAGCCAACCTTTACTAATAAAGAGCAGAGGAGACCCTGGGTCTATCTGTAAAACCTGGCGATGTTCGTCTTAAGGCTGAGGATGGAATACAATATGCTTGGCATATTGATGATATCTCGCTAAAACATCTGTTTGATAAACATCTGAGCAAGCATTCGGTTGGGGCCTACCAAAGACTCTGTTCGGAGGTTGGACAGTCATTTTGGGCAATCTATAATGAGCCCACAAAAAAGGTACTAATCCACGTTTTCTATAATGGCTAGTATAAATCTAATCAAGGCTAAAGGAAGATTTGGCACGCAGCGAAGAGATTGAGCACCTAGAGCAAGAGAAAAGAATTCTCGTTGAAAAGCTCGCTGAGGCTAAGACTAAAATTGCGGAACTACATGACAAAATTGAGTCAGTGGAAGCTCAGCGAGACAGCCTCGAAGAATCTATCAGTGAATCAAACCAGACCCTTCTTTTACACCAAGAAGAAGCACAAAGATGGATGACAGTTGCAGATTGCTACCAAAATAGCTTTCTATATGTTTCTGATGCACTTGCTCATGTGGTTTCATATCTCCAGGGCGTTGAAGGTAACTCGTATACACTCGGTACTAGTTAAAAAGCACTAGACATAACCAGATCCATCGAGCGCCAACTGGATATGCTGAAGCCTGAAAGTAGAATGATAGTGCAGACCTATAGCAAGGCAGAGAAGCACCCAAAATAAAAAACTATACAGCGGATTCAATTCAATAGAGGTGCTATTGGACTTCATGGTTGAGGGAAGTGGAGTAAGAAGAAGAGTCTCAGTTGATACTCCAGAAAATTTAAAGTCGGAGCTATAGTCTGCTCCTGATATAGGATTGTAAGTTATTATTGGGGCGATCTGGTCAAGCTCCAAAGTCTTTGATGGAAAATTTTGAGTAGGCATTGCCTACTGTAACTGTCTGCATTATTGTAAGTTATCTATGTCACCATTATACTTGTGTATTGCTCAACTCACCTGGTGTGATATTGGCAGCAAGTGTTTCGGTACATATGAAGCTTTCTACAGATTATGGCAAGAACTAGGAGTGATATATGATATATATGCTCCTTGATTGATGAGCAGTGAACCAGAAGATGCAGACACAAGTAGGCTGGTTTGATAATGTTTCAGAACATCGAGTGGTATGGTCACTTTGAAGATATTTAAAAACATTTAAATTACAACCAAGATTGAGCCTACACATATAAAAAGCAGTTCATTTTCTCTATCTTTCTATAGTTATCATTGACCAAATCATAGACTGATGTTGAGAATACTATATACATTTACTCACAACCATGAACCCCAAAGTGACCAATAACACTGGTGCTGGCACTGGTGCGAATGATAACACCCAATCTGAAAATCCTAATCCTACCGTATCTGCTTTCGAATTCCCGGATGGCAGTACTAAGGTCATGCGTATACCTCATGCAAATCGCTATAGCGACGAATGGAGAAATCTACTCGACAATAGAGATGCTGAGGAAGTAGACCATCTTGTCAAGAAAGCTTTCGAGGAACATGATCTCGCGGCTTGTTATACAATCTTGACCGAAATTAACAATGCTATTATAAAGAAAAATATAGAAATAGGTATTCCTCGCGATCATCGAAAATATGGTGTTATAGAAGATCAGCAGTTCTACGTCAAACAGCTTCATGAATTAGATGCCAAATTGAGAGAAGGAGAAGATCCAAAGAAAGCATTGAATGAAATCAACGAAAATGTGCGCAGCTTCAACAATAAGGAAGGACTTCCCCCAAATTGGCAATTTAAGCCTAGCTCTTGTGATCCAATTGTCCAGGAATTGCAACTGAATAAAGAGACAATCAATTTTCCGAAACAAGAGAAAGACGATGATTCTAATGATGAGGATTTCAGTGAAATTCAAATGCAGGTTGATAAGGATGTCACAAGTGTCGCACAGCCAAGCGGCAAGAGCAGTGGCAGCAGCAGCAAAGATAGCAGCAGCAAAGGCAGCAGTAGCAAAGGCAGCAGCAGCAAAAATGGCGGCAGCAAAGCCGGCGGCAGCAAAGGCAAAAACCCAATCAATAAGGGAAAAAAGAAGCAGGAGTTTTTGCAAGATGAAGCTGAACTACAAGATGACGACGAGCTGCAAAATGACGACGAAATGCAAAATGAGGACGAAGATTCTTCCGATGATTTTGATGAGCTTCTTAGGAACTCGGGTGCGAATCAGAAGACCTATAATCTTGAAGACAATGTTGAGGATATCGATGAGCTTGTGCTACGAGCAGAGCAGCAGTGGGTTCTACATGAAAATTTCAACGTCGTTTGTTGGTGGAAAAAGGGAACAGGTGCACAGATCATTGTGAGGTACGGAACCGACCCCTACATATATCGCATTCGAGCCGGTAGATCGCATCACTGGGATTCCAAAAAATGCCCGCAGGTTATAGGCTCAAATGCTGGCGAAAATGTGACTAATACACCGAATGGGAACGTCATTCTTACCAGTCGAGGAGATTGTAAGAAATACGAGGACATCCCAGAAGGGTTTAACTATACTTGGAAATATACACGGAAGGACGTGCAGGGCATTTTGGGGGTTGCATGGAAGGTACCTGATGACGATGAAGATATCGACACACACGACGCTCTGTGCCTCATAATTCCGGAGAAAGGTGTTTGCTATCCTCAAACACGAGTGCTAGTCAAATGGAAAGATGGGATAGTTACCGTTGAGGACCGAGCTACAATTCGCCGTATCACTGAAAAGAGACCCATTGATGGAGATATGGTCATCTACTGGAAAGCTAAACAAAGCGAAATAAGGTTTCGAAAGGAGGAGGGTCTACCATATGAGAATCTGCTTAACGGAGAGCCTACGCCAGCAGCTGAGCCCGAGCCCATGGACTCAGGAATCAGGGTTCCGCAGCCGAGCTCACGAGCAAACACAGTATTCCCTACCCCAACACCACAAAGACCAAGAAGGGATGTCAAGGCTACACCAGTGCCAGTGAACCAGCAGCCTGATTCTCAAGAAGATGTCATGAGCCTACTTCTCAAATTACAGCAACAAATAGCTGAGATAAAATTAGACCGTGTACAGTCCCACCCACCAGCATATTCCCCGCCACCAGCATACGCTGGTCATAGTGTCAAATCGACGAGGAGAACACCTGGAAGAAAATTCAAGGGCATGCATAATTAGATGCTAAGTGGATTGATAACAAAAACGAGGATTTCCTTTTTGATAAGACTTCAAGCTACGTCGTGTGCAGTGATTCATGGGTATAGCAACTAACGTTGATTTCATTTAGTGCGTAATATATAATATCTAATACCAAATGAAACTTGTTGGAAATGGTTGTAATACTACTGTAATGAAAGTAAGCGTAAAAATTACTAAGGCTGTATTGAACACTTTAGAATGGTTTTCTCTGTTTTATATACGCCTTCTTTGTGCTCTAAAAAGTGGGAAAAGGAGACTGGAGGTTAGAAGAATTATACACCATTACAAGATGCTTTCTTGTCTCCCAACAGAACTTCTTTTTCTGATCGTTGAATATGTCAACGACCAGATGTGGCTTCTCGATTTGTCAATGGTCAATAAACAGCTTCGTGAAATTTGTTCTCCAGCAATATTTGAAACTCTTGTTGTGAAGTTTACAAAGATGGGTCTATTAAACTTGATTAAGGCATCAGAGTCGCCTCTTTCACGATATGTTAGGTGCATCCGCTACGAAGCCGCTGAAATCCTTGATCCAAGTAAGTAGTGAGGCTATGCATGAAGACTAGAACTAATTATCAAAGTGGTTCAATACCCAGAGATATTCCGATCATGTATATATACTCCCGACGATTATGTCCGCGACTGGAGGGATACACCATGGAGATTCCGAAGTCGAAGTATCTCTTATTCGATGATTTATGCATACTTTTGTGTCCAGGCACGGGATCAACAGGACATTATCGACGATGGTCTTGACACTAAGGCACTCTCTGAATCTCTCCCACGCTTTATACGTCTACATACTATAGAGCTACGCTTCATGACAGGACTTAGCTACCCTTATGAATGGCTTGCTAGCCAGGCCTTAATTGACAACTCGTTCTCTTTCTCAGATCATTTCAAGAAATTGATGATGAGCATGATCCTCGCCAAGGAGTCCGGAGTTCTGATACAAAATTTCAAAGTCTCCGGTTTCTATACATCATTCAATGAGAACAAGGAACTATGCAAGCTCGCTGAAGAAGCTTTTTCGAATATTCAGACTATCCATGTACTAGACAGTCCAACTATGCTAGACTGTTTTTCAAAGCTATCGATACCGTTCTTACGTCGCTTGGAGCTTGCAAATTGTTGGCTCTCGATTTCAAGCCTTGAAACGTTCATCCAGGCGCATGCAGAGACTCTCCGATTTCTGCATTTGGAAGAAATCTGGCTTCTTGACAGCACATCTGAGTACGATCATTTACCCTGGGACACAGGAAGTACGGATCGCCTTTTGCACAGATTAGAGCATATATTTCAACTAGGCATACTGTCTGGAGTGACAATCAATAGCCGAAATGACGGACAATTCGAGGTATAGAAGACTTTCGATTGATACTATATATTATTCAAATTTAGCTCTAAGAATTGACGTCCGTGTAATGAATATACGCCTAATTGAGATATCCCTCATAATTCATCCTATTGCGTTCAAACCCCACTTCCTGAGAGCATCGAGCTCGCGGGTTTTTCTGTGATAATTATCCTACTATAAAGAATGTTTGAGTCATCATGGAGCCCTTGTTACCCTCTTATGTTCTTCAATAACCTTTTGCAGTTTCCAGAACTTGTAAACCAGAGTCAACGCAAGATAAATCACTGCAGATAGTCCTGTGATAATAATACTCAAAAGCGCCATAATTGACCAATCACCGTTTTTTGCGGTATATATGCTTATGAAGCTTGTGATCAAGCCCGCAGTGGCATTCAAAAGATTAGGTCTAGCAAGTTAGACAAAGCAATATATTGTGGTATCCTAGACTCACATGAAAAGTCGATTAATCAGCCAAATATAATTACTTCTCCAACGGTAAAATAAAAATACCATAATAGCCAGCCCAAAGAGAAAACAAATAAATGAGATAGCGATGAGTGGTGGATTTTGAATAGTACCAAGTATTCTTCTGTTCATGGTACTTTGACTTGAGCTATTCTTGATGGTCGTCTCCAATGTCGTAAAAGTACCTGGCACAACTAAATATCCTGCAAGAAAAACCCAGCTTGCAAAGCTTGAAAGAAGATTATAGCCCCAATGGATAGGCTCAAGCGTCATATGAACATACTCTGTGTCCAAAATCATTGTTGTATGAGTTCTTTTCAGTTGTTCTTGATGCATTTTGCATTGTCAGTCCTGATATTGGAAGACTACGGATGTGTTCATTGCAATGTTGAAAGACAGGAATAGCTAAAAATATAAGGTACGCCTTCGAGAGATTTAATACAAACTCAAGCAAAGTATGTTTCAGAACCACCTGAAGCAGTTAGTGAAGCTATGCCCCCTTACCCCCAGTAGATGTAAAATAGCTCCCACGCTGCGCAATTGTGCATAAGATATTTACAGGTCGTAGGCACCAGGACCCTGTTCTTAGCATAATGAAAGGATGCTATAGGCTGATAAGCATAAGAAATAGAAGAGGTGAAATTACCAACCTGAATTAACTCAGCAATAGATGCACTCGAATGAGCTGATGTAAAATCCTGACACAGAAGACCTATAGCACCTCGGCCCATGGCTTTGTTACTGATGAGGAGTGTTCGTGCAATACAGAACACAGCAACAATATCTCGAGCCTTGTCGTTTTGATTCCGATGGTGAATCATACTTTCACCAATGTCTCCTAAGCTGAATCAGCGCATAACCCGCACTTCTATAACAGCAGATATTACCAATCTTGACTTCACCATCTTCGCAAATAAAGACATTTCCCATATGGATATTGCCATGGCTAATCTTGAGTGTCTCGTGGATATCGAGAAGCCCCATGAAAATCTATCGTTTCATAATCATCGTCAGCAAAGCTATCACCATCTTTCCTGCTACATTGTAGCAATCATACCTTGTAGCATATATTTGCCACTTCAACCTCGCTTAGCTGAAAGACAGGGCCTAGCTTTTGGACTTCGTCGAGGGACAGACTCCATCTTTCGTAAAGAAAGAAACAGGATCGGCCATGAATGAACACCTCTCGAAGATTCACTAGGTTTGGGTGAGATGTTTCAACAAGAGATTTAGTATCAGTCTCAAGGCTTTTAGATATGAATTTTTTGACATATGAAACGGGGCGTTTGTTTGTAAATTCGATAGCATCGATGTCAGTTAGACCAGGCTCTATCCCAATGAAAAAACGATGAAGAAGGCGATACGGATGGCCTTGCTTGATAAAGTCTTCGGGTACCTCAGAGGGTTCCATGCCAGGGTAACAAGGATCTCGGGAGGGAATCGGCAAGTTGATTGGCGATTCGAGCTTGGGTTTGAGACTCATGGCAGTTTTTAGTTGTACAAAAATGTTCTTCTCAATAAAAAGTAATATACATTTATATTCGGCTGGCTTGCCCACTAGCCTGTGGCCGGAAAGGGTGGATTCGAAATTTACAGCTAGGAATCGCAAGCGGGGTCGATACAGATACCGATTACATTACATCTTAGTTGTAAAACGTACTTGTGCCGCCCGGATTGAAGGCTTATCATTGTTCTTCCGTATATAGATCTAGTTTGTAGCCTGATCTTCTACCTTAACTTTTAGCCTGATTGGACACTAATATACTTATCATGTCTAAGCAGAATCGAAATACAGTACTACCATCTCACCTTTTTCCTACCGGTCTTCATCAAGTTCATTCTATTTCGCCTCCAGTCGACAAAACAAATACAACCAAGCCTTCACTATCGCATGTCCGAAATAAAGTGCCCGTTTCTAGCTCAAAACTGACTAAACCTGTCCCTGAATCGAAAGTTGAAATCGAATTTCCGAGCGTTGACAGGAAAACCTATGACCAGGCAAATTCGCAACAGTCTGTTGATGTTCACAAGCTGAAGACAAGTGATGTCTGGGAAAAATATTATAGATTTATGAACTCAAATCAAGCTGGACCATGTGAAATTGCTCATGATAATACAATTCAGCATCGAATTGTGGTTGTCAAAGAAATCAGAATGTACACAGGCACGGATCAAAAAAAAAATTACAGGCAATAATCGAACAGAAGCATAAGAATGTTGTTCAGCTTTTGGATATTTTCACGGGCCCTCTCTCAGTACATCTTGTTTACGAGTCACTAGAGGTTTCACTGCATCAAATACAAGCAACCAACACACCAGATATTACTGAAATTGATCTAGCAATTTTTGCTAAAGAGGTATAGCCTTCTATTCTGGCTGTAGATGAAGCTACTTACGGTCGCTAGATTCTTCAGGCTCTCGAATATATGCATTGTGTTCTTGGTATAGTCTATGGACAGATAAATCCACGGAATATTCTTCTATCATTTAATAGTTGCGAAATCAAGCTTGGTATGCTCACTTCAGAGATGATTACTACTGTATTTCCACTAATACAATGCATAGCAAATATTGCTATCTCAGTATTGCAGCCGCAGCAAAAAAGCTTCAAAGCTGATATCCGATCCGTTGGCACTTTGTTGGTTGCTTTGAAGGAGCCAGGCACGATTATGTGTAACCCAGAGAGTTTAGAGCTCAAGACAGACGATGTAAGTGATCTTTGCAATCACTTCCTCCAGCAAATTGAGAGCTTATCCTTGCGAGGACTACTCAAGGTAAGTTTCGCTCTCTTCTGATAAAATACTTCTTATTGACGTCACAAGCATGATTTCCTTCTTAAATCACCAGGAGTTGAGAGACTGAGGGTATTTATTTACCGTGCTATGGAACTTGCAGTACGAGATTCTTCGTTATAACAATCTTCAAATCTTTATTTTGGTGTTTAAAATTTGATAGGTATCTGCCGGCTCAGCTTAAGAGTGCATTGAACGTAAGATTACATAGGTTTGCTTCGCCGTAAGTTGAAGTTGAAGTCATGGCAGTAACAATAGCGCAACCCTCTAGTAATATGACTTGATTGACTCTTGCTGGTCTGTCTAGACGTAGATTGCAGCAATCAAAGCTCAGCTAGGGTGACATTAAAAATTCAGAATCGGAGTCACAATTCAGCTGCTGGCAGAATGGGCCACAAGGCATGGGAGTCAATAGACACGAGGAGGCTTCGGACAAGATAAGTCACCTGGTATTGGATACAGCAGACAAGGTTGTGTTGTAGTCCGCTGAAGGCCACAGACTTGAGTGTCCTCATTCAATCGTAAATTGTAGGTAAGAAGAGTCCCCTGGCAAGGCAAGTCATCTGACACACAAACACAGGGTTTAGTAAAGGTGCTGGCGTTGGAAGGCACGAGGTATAGATACAGTAGTGGTAATGCAGCCCACCTGACATGGGAAATACCAGGTAAGGGTGGGCAGCAGGTATAGCACACCACGGTGTACCGAGATAATGAGGCAAGCGTGAGCAGTGGGTGCAATCTACCACCGGGCAGAGCAAGCATCAGGTAAGGGTGAGCAGCTGGTATGGTTACCCATGAAACATAGTGGGCACCCTGTGAAGGTGAGCATTAGGTTGCTAATTCAAAGCCTTGTCTAGGTGCGCCACTTTCAGCAAAAGGTGAGGGTGAGTCAAAAAGATTTCTCGTTATAAATAGTCCTCAAGGAACAGACTCTGCCTTCCAGATGCATCTCCGTCAGTATGAGTTGTGAGAAAGAAATCGCACAATACTTCTGTGGATATGCGATGATAAATCTGACTCATCTCAAATTTGATTCTCCACTTTTTGGTGTTCGTGTATTCGATCCCTATAATGTTAAAAGACTCGCATCGATATTTAAACTTGATGCCTGTGTGCGCACGGAGCCAGCAAACTTTATTACCGCAGTTATCGATGAAAATGTCTTTCTGGAAGCCATACATCAATCTAAGATCACTGTCGAGGAAATGAGAAATAAGAACCAACCTCCATTTCTCGGCTTGAGAGATGGCCAAAAAGTCCAATGTCTGTACGGCAGACATCGCATTGAAGCTGCAAAAGAGTACCTAGTATTTGGTGACCGGTGGTGGTCTGTTGCGCTCTATAATGATAGTATGTTCAAATTTATACTGGTTGGAGTAAAGACTAATTCATCAGAGCTCCCGGAACATTTTCGACGACACATTATTTGCTATAATGATACAGAGCACAGCCCTGGCGATATCATAAGAAACTTGCGCTATTGTGAGATACATAATATGGCCGAGGCATCGTTTTGGCTGTCAAAATTGCCATATAGAGCGCGCATCGATATGAAGCACATCAGGGATAATTATCCCAGTATTCTTCGAGTCCTAGACAAGCTGATATATCTCCCCGGATTATGGGTAGATGTCCCATTTTCTCTTTTGCGTCGTATAGTAGAGATGAAATGCCCGACAGTGAGTTCTACTGAGTATACTCAAAAATATGTCTAAAAGTTTCGATAGGAGACTTTGCGCTATCTGGATCAAATCTATACTATATGGTCAAGCTTCGCCAAGATTCCAGATCTATACATTGACACCGAAACAGTACGTCTGATTCAAAACAGATTGCCGCAACTATCCGAGATGGACAAGGCTTATATCAATGCTCAGTTACAAGAAGAACGAATTTTTCCATCTATAAATGATGCCGATAGGCGAGAATTACTGAAGCAAGCAATCTATCGGATACCTGGAAGGATTTTAACGCTTTGCTCTATGGTTCAAGACATGCTGATCTGGAGCCCATGTGCTACTGCACTTAGAAGACTAATTCCAAAGCGGCCGAAAGACATCCGCCATGAATATCTAGCTCGATTCAATGGATCTCAGAATTGTCTTATACAATTTGCTGAAAATGGCATGCACAGTCTACAATCTAAGATCAAGGAAAATCGGTATAGTGAGATAGCCTACGCTCAACTATGGCTCTGCGCACTAAGACATATCGAAAATTTGACTCATACAACACTCCCACAACCTCGTCATAAACGGAATATTGAGCCTGAAGATAGTTTCCAAGAGACAAGGATTGAATCAACGCAACAGCTCGCTAGCCTCGCGACTAAATTGGGGTTTGAATCCAATCAGATCAGATCTTATTCTTCCAAACAGACGATGTTGCCATCTACTCAAGCTTTTATCAACGGCCGACTGCCCGAGGAACGGTATAATATCACCAAGGGTTTTACGCAGTCCACGTCCACTGATATTGTCAAACTTTTGCGAAAAGTGGAAGAGAAGGCTCCCTCGATGACCGTACCCCCCCTTATTGAGGATGGCCATCTCTGGGGATTGAAAAGATGCGGATTACCTTATAAGGAGTCATTTTATCAGAACCGCCAATTCCTCTTTGTTCCATATATTTACAGCCCTTTTACAACAGACATAGCAGCTCCTATAACATTTTCCATATTAAAAGATATGGTTCGAACTTTCCTAGGTACAGAAGTAATACCCGACACACTTTTCTCGTTCGAGAACCGTGCTCCAGTTGCGAGCCCAACTTCGTCCTTCTCACTTCCGGAATATCCATCTCCTCCTCACGGCGACAATGAATCTGATTCCAACTTTATCGAGAGCATGGAGACAGATGAGATAGGTCAATATAACACAGGTCTTGAGCATCAGGACATGGGGAGTCGTGATGATCAGCAATATGCAAATGCAGTGCCAGACTCAAGTTCAATACCAATCGGGGAAGAACCGAATGTCGAAGAAAAGAGGTTGGAAACTTATTCAAGTCTAGAACAAGCCCAGCGCTCAAATCGCCCTGCATTAGAAAGGCTACTCAAGCCACCAGAATTTGCCGATGGTTTTGATATCACTAATTTTATTGCACCATTGTACCGGGAGGCGATAGTCCGTCATTCGTTGGGCTTTATGGACATGAAGAGAAAATGGGAGTCATCAGAGAATACACAACTGGTGGTTTTCTATCAATTTCAATTCCGAAAATATTACAAGGTGCGCTACAGCGATGACGAAGCAAAAGATGAGCTTAGAGACTGGATTGCTCGCAATTCATCTCGGGACCAGTACCTTCTTCCAGTGGATGGAAGAAATCATCTTAATGTGGAACAAATCCTAGATACGTTAGGCAAGTTCAAACTAATACTAGTCGGTGAGTTGGCACACCAGGCGGGTATGATGCCTGACTCGAGCACCCTCCAGTATATTTCTAAACTTGACCAAAGCCTGGGCAAGAGAAAAGATAACTGGCCCGAGGAAGACAACACCAGAAAAGATGAGAATGAGATGGGTAAAAGAAGACAAAAAACAGCAGACAGAGTGTCAATAGACACTTTGGACTCCATAACCTGATTTATTACTACACTGAATAGCTGATAGCTATTCTTCTATAAGAAATCTATGTGCCGAGTTTGCTATCAGATTCTATAAGCAATTTGCTATCAAGTTTTACAGTCATTGTACGTAGGAAGAACTTTTGCTTGTACAATTGATCACCTTAAAGCACTTTTCTCAATTTTGCAAATTCTTCTATGGTCTCTGCCTTGAGAACAAGTTTTATACCATAGAGTTTATACAAAAGGTGCTATCGATATGAAGATATTTCTGCAAGACCAAAAACTAGCTATTGAAGACAGGTTATTGAGTTCGAGCAAACGGCTTGTATTTCAGCAGAAATACTTCGAACTAGGACAACGATAAGCTGAGTTAGTAAGATCAAAACCAGGGACTAATCTAAAAATCTTCGAAAGGCAGGTTGATTACAGAGTATACTATAGTAGGCGTTCATTGAACACATATAGGAAGTAGAATTTGAGGCTCCTTGGGCATCACTTGAGGCCGGGGGCCAGCAATTAATTATACTCCGTCTGTTAATATTACTCACTTACATATTGGAAATTTATCTTTGATAAGAGCATTCAATTCATTTATTTACAGGGAGCTGAGCCATTTTGACTGGTACACACTCTATGGCAACAGAACGTTTGTGTTGAAGAAATTCCACCTCTTCAAGTATCTCGCGACACTTGAGCCTACCGAGAATCATCGAGTTTGAGTATACCCAGGCTTTAGATGGAGTCGTAGCGATAGTAATCAACGATCCAACTCCCTAAGTCTTTGCTATGTCCTCCGACTAAATTGACTCAAGCTGTAATGCAAAAAGGGTTCTGCTTGAATTCGCTACTGAGTCCTTCAATTGTTTTCAAGGGCGCATCTAACCTCGCCGTCCCGAAACTGTTGCGGGTTTTGGACGGTCCACCTGGCATTATGTTGTGGTTTGAAGAGGCTATTCGAAAGCCCTGCTGTATTGCTGGCAGACAGGGTGCAATGATAAGAATATTTGCTTCAATACCACTGTGATCATGACTCAGATCTTAATTGCGCCCGAGAGCAGGTGACAAAAACGACAGGAAGAGTACTTACACAAGCAGCCCAAGTCGTGCTGTATCATAAGTCAAATCACGTGATGTCAATAATGGTATCGTAATACCCAGTCGCACAGCGCTTGCAATGAATGTCCTATTAAAGGTCAATATAGTCCGCTAATAAATGGAGAATATATAAACTACTTTGTTACTTACACACAAACCATGATAGAAATGATCATGAATTTCACCTTCTGTGTATGTGTGATCTTCAATCTATAGATTGTAGGCACAGGTAGCAGCAATAACAGGATATCAGAGCAAATATTGAATATTGCAACAGCAATAAATATAGCCGACTGATTAATGCATCTGCCAGCCTGGGTTATGGTCCATGATTTGGATATTGGTCGACAAGCAAAAACAAAAAGCGAAAAAGTTGCCGCGGAGCCGACAGTAATAAACACAGTAACTGTATACACTGCGTAACGCATACTTTGCTTTCCCGCAAAAATACGGGCGAGAAAGATCAGGTGAGCGCTTCTGGCGAGGCATGAACCGGTAACAAAGAGGCATGCAGTTGCAAGAATAAGCTGATATCATAGAAGTAAGCTTTTGAAAACTTTCTGTCTAGTGATGTACCTTCTCAAATAGATCTAGTAAACTTGTGCTCAGATTTTGAACATGCGTTCCTAATCCAGCATTGTATATAGCATCTATAAGATCGGCGGTAAGAATAAATGCCTTTAGTTGTAGGAGGATTACTTACAGAGAATTAGTCCTTGAGTGCTTAAACAGAATATCTATAACTTCATAAGCGCTGACATCTTCGCTGGCTTAGAACCTTACCCAGGAGAAAATTAAGCAGTCTACCATAATCATATCACGTTAGGTGCGGATTCATAAAGATCAAGACCAAGGTGATTGAATAATATGTTGGGAATACTTACAGTCTTCTAGATACAGCCTGCTGTTTATCTTCCGCCTGACAAAAAGCCGCAGGATTAAGCATGTCAAACTTATTATCGTACCCGAGATCAGCACAGATTGTATAGGTACGAAAAGATATCCTTTCGGCATTGTGTAAATGAAGGCTTTCGAAACACCTATCGGAAACCAGGCAAATAATTAGAAATTGTGGTGTCAAGTTTTGAGAAAAGCTATTCATGGGCCCCCTTTTTTCTAATAATACTTATGGAGTTGATCATCTCAGGTTTATGTTATTAGCATAACTTCCTATATTGGACTCGGAGTCGTCCTGACCCAGGTTCTCTAGTGTATCCAGTCCGGTTCCGGAGCACTAGATCTGAGAAGCTGCAGCTTGAAATTTAAAGCTACTATTCTGTTGTTTTTAAAACTTAAAATACTAGCTGTAAGAGCATTGGCAAATAAATTACCCGCTGTACCACATGCCAGCGTCATAATCTTATCGAGCGGGCCGCGTTAAAGATACGGGTTTGTCTAAGATACCGTCTACTTAGCTCTGACCAAAGTTGCAGCATCCCGCTTAATAGCCTATCCGAGCTAATACCGTATCTTGGCTGGTGTAGCCAATTTCGAGATTCTCTATAAGTTTTGTTTTGGTGGAAAGCACAAAATGAGTCTCATTTTTCGTCCTTTGATGACCATGCTCCAGAAACACTCTTTTTGGCCAAGACCATGCTTATAACCTCCCGCTATTACCTTACTTTACCAGTGTTATCACTCATGATAATATTGTGGCGACTACATAAATACAAATATCTTTTGTCTTCTCATAGAGAATTATCTTTCGATCCGAACTTGGAGGCCATCAACTGGGCACAGTTCGCCTATGTGCAATATGCAACTGACACAGATTATCTCTGTAATGCTGTTATGCTTTTCGAGTCTCTTGAGCGCCTTCGCAGCCTCCCAGAGAGAGTGCTTCTTTTTCCTTCGCACTTTGATTTGAAGAGCGAATCTATGGAAGGGAGACTATTACGCAAGGCACGTGCAGAGTATCGCGTCAGACTTATGCCCATTGAGGTACAAACTCGACCCGCTGATGATAGTACGTATTAATTTATGCATACTTCAATTGTACTTCTTCAAATTTGATGAAGTCGGCCACGCTGGCTCACAGCCTATATAGCAACATGGACAGACAGCTATACCAAGTTGCTGGCCTTCAATCAAACAGATTACAAGCGGGTAATAAGTTTGGACTCGGATGCTATCTTACTACAAGTATCTAATACCCTGGCCACTGTTTTTCCTTGATAGGCAGAGACATATATACTAAGCTTTGCCACTAGAGTTTAGATAATTTATTTCTTTGGCCTCCATCACCGGTAGCCATGCCACGAGCATACTGGCTAGATACCCAGACTCGCCAGCTGACATCTGCTCTTATACTTCTTCAACCGTCAGCATTTGAATTTGGTCGTATTTGGGAGCAGATACAAGCGGCAGGACCTGCAGTGTATGATATGGAGATCTTGAATCAGCTCTACAGAGATACTGCTGTGGTTCTTCCACATCGTTCATATATCCTTCTGACAGGAGAATTCCGAGAGCGAAACCACAGCAACTATCTTGGAAACCCTGAGGCTACTTGGGATCCGGATCTAGTAATTCAAGAGGCAAAGTATCTTCATTTTTCGGACTGGCCGGTTCCCAAGGTATTCTAGACTTGTAATTTTTGAGGAGTATGCTAACTCACCTGACTTCTAGCCTTGGCACAAATCTCCCGCCAGAGTGATTCAACAGGAGCAACCTACTTGTGACACAGACCAGAGAAGTGGTGCTCTTGCATGTCGGTCTCGAGACATCTGGCTAGGTCTTTACGAGAACTTTGTGCAAAGACGGAAGGTATAGTGATACGTGTGGCATATTAAAGAAGAAGCCTGACCTTGAGTAGAAACTTTGTGGATTAGATACAATCTGACGAATGAGATGATCCTGATGCTCTGGATGTTCTAATTACGAACTCTTATCAATGGCCTTTTGAACGGCTACCAGTATTCATGGACTTGTGCATCTTGTGACGCGGAATCGTTGAGGGGGAATGTGAGGGGTGTTCTTTTGGACTGAATGCAATGGAACTCCAATCATATGCAGCGATTATTTCTGAATAACTGCTACATTCAGAGAAGGCATTGTCGGTGAGATCTCTTTAAGCCCCGGCGCTTGTACCTGTGAACAGTTCGGTCGAACCAAGTAGGCTCTTCTGCCCTACGAGTTCATATCCACCAACACCAAAAGAGTGGAACTGTGCAAGGATCAACATAAATTGACTGTACCATGGTTGAAGTTTCTCCACACTTCTGATAATGATATTTTCTAAAAAGGAGATTAATCATTACTAGCCTGCCTTCTATCTCTGATCTAGGTGCTTTCCAGCAGGGAAATAAGAAGAGTATTGGGTAGAGAAACCAGTATCTGAAGACCCGGTACAGTATGAGCAGTGTTGGCTTACATATAAAAACGGCAAATCAGGAAACAAAGTTACTACTAATACTCTTGAATTGTATCAGCGATCTTGAAACTATAAAAGCTAAGATGATACAGAGCTGAAGGCTGATCAAACAGCCTTCTATCTACGCATGTATTAGATACTTATCTCCTAGGTCCACATGCTATCTAGTCTTAAGATATATAAGAAAGCTGAGAGACATTCACCCAACCAGCATAATACCTAGAGTTACTACATCCAAGTGCTATTAGAAACCCTACCATATCAGCTAGAGCTATGGAAGGATCAGTACCATCAACTCAAACTATGCCCAAGGACAAATCTTCCAGTCTTTTATCTTACTCAGAGATACCAGAATGGTATCAAGATAATAAGTTTATTCTCGACAGTTATCGCCCTGTTTCGAAATCTGGCTATCAATGTCTTCTAAGTTTAGTTGCGCTTCATAATGAGACTGTTAATATTTATTCTCACCTGGTTCCAGGCACCTTTTTTCTTATAGCTGAAATACTTATTTATCAGTATCTTTGTACACATTACCCTGAGGCAACAGTTGCCGATTATCTGGTCTTTTCCTTTTTTCTTTTAACAGCAAGTTTATGCCTACTAATATCAGCTACATACCACACATTGATCAATCACTCTAAGAATATTTCAAATCTATGGTTACGCCTTGATTACATCGGGATTGCCATCTTGATACTTGGTGATTTTATATCTGGCATATATATGGTGTTCTACTACGAACCTCTTTTAAGATATGTGTATTGGGCTTTAGTAAGTTGAGAAAACTTTTATTGGCTATTCTTATACTATACTAATTTTCTCTGCAGATAATCTTTCTTGACTTATCAATAATTCTGGTACTACTGTACCCAAAGTTTCAAGGTCCATGCTGGCGTACTTTCCGTGTTGGTATCTTTATCAGTATTGGTCTTTCAGCCTTTGCTCCTCTTATACACGGTACTATCCTTTTCGGCTTTCGTGCAATGATTAAACAGTCTGGAATAATATACTATCTTGCTGAAGGATTTATCCTACTGACAGGTGCATTTATTTACACAGTGAGTGTTTTGCGCCAGTCACGTCCAGCAAAATACTAATTAGTATAGACAAAGATTCCCGAGTCAATAAAACCGGGGAAATTAGATATATATGGATCTTCCCATCAGCTATTCCATATCTTGGTGGTATTGGCTACTGTTTTGCATCTACTTGGAATTTTGTCTTCGTTTCATTATAACTATTGTAGAGCTTATTGTCACTTGTGAGGAATGAGCTTAGGTGCTCTACTGATATTTTTTACTCAAACACTGCTGAGCACTAGATATTAATACAGTATTTTTGTTATCCTAGGTTGATGTAATTTACATATTCAGCTATAATATAAAACTGTATAGTTTCGTATGGCTATTTAGAAGCAATCGCAGAGTACTGATACTGTATGAAAGTCCCGTATATGCTATGGCCAATAATAGAGGCTGCGAAGAAGCTGCTGCCAAACAGTCTATCCACTCTTCACTATCATAATCCAATCATTTATACCTCATTTCTGCTATCTGCCGGTACCTGATAGCCCTCTGTTTCTGACAACTCTGAACGGCTTTAAACCTCCTTTTCCATTTGCATCAAAGTACAAATTGAACAACAACACGATTTAAAGCAGTCACCACAGCTCGAACCCTCAAACCACAGCAGCTAGCCAAATAATATAAACAGCACTGGATGGAATATCAGTTGAGTGAGGCATGGAGGCAGAGTCTAGGGCCTATTACAGTCGTTGATGATGATGATGATTCATACGCTGGCCCCTCGCTTAAGGCAGTATGCAGGATCCACTATCTACACTCTCTATCTACAACCTTGGATATGAACTATTACTTTCCTGACGAATTTGGAGCCTTGTCAAGACCTATATAGACTAGTTCCTGGGTTTGTATTTTACTGTCCTTGTAGCACATGACTTCGAAATCTCTATAATATTTCTGCAAAGTCTAGAACTGCTCTAAGAATACTACTGTCTGGTGGGGTATCTTATAGTCTATCTTTCCTATCTTAATCTACCTATTCTAGTATATCTGATATATTGTTTAAGACTTCTTTAATCTTCTTCTGTAGTGTTTAAAGTATTGTGCTAAGCTGCGGGTAGTTGATGAGTATATGTACTGCTGTCTCTGTTGCCCCATACTTATACTACTTATCTACGTGGAATCTATATTATTTACTATATGTTGCTAGATATGAATAGCCTGTGTGGAGCTGCGTAAGTAGATATACTTGATTCTAAGGAAGTGAGCTAAAAAGACAATAAGATCTGCTAGATAACAGGCCTTAGTTAATACAGTACAGGTTCTCTTTTATTTTTAAGATTTTTTATTCTTATTTCTACTCTTGGTAGATCTTTCTATATAAGTATTCTTTCTCTTGTAAGAGGAGAGGTTTGAAGGGGTGCTTCTTCTCTATACTTACTGCTACTTTGGCCAGCTGGTCGGCTGCTTTATTTCCGGAGTCCCCGCAGTGGCCTAGTATCTATTGGAGTCGCAGTAAAATTCCTTGAGCTTTTAGCTCGCCGGCCGAGTGGTGGATGGCCTGGATAATATACTGGTCTGATTTGTTCTATAAGTTTTGAATAATCTGTAGGGCAGATATGCTATTACTAAGGATTTTTGCTGGTTTCTGATTAATTCCTGAGTCATCTTAGTTTCTTTATTCTAGCTGGAATACTAATCTAATAGTATAGTAGATTGCTATGACTTCGGCTGTATAGACTAACCAGTGCTTTATTGAGCCAATACTAATCTGTCGAGATCCCAGGATCTGGTGAATATAGTTGAGAGCTACTACTGCTGTACTCAGCTGATTTTGCTTTCCTAATGTATCTGAGGGACCACTAAACTCCGTCCTGATGTCTGCTTTGCTAAGGCCTGGGTCTGAGCTTTTTCTCAGTCTATTTTGATCAATCTCAGTAAAGGTCTGCGCCCTAATGGCTGTGGGTTAATAATCTTAAGGCCCTGTAGATGCTTCAAGTCTATAGTTTGTATTATCTCTGCTAATAGAAAATGTATTATAATATAAATATATATACTTTGTTCTATGGCTTATTTCATGATTCCTCGTACTGGATGATTGTCTGGTAAGGGTGCTGAATTAAGCTGCTGTAGTCTATACTCACAGCTTTAGACGCAGGCGAGTAGGTAGTATATGAGATTTAACTTCCAGGGTATTAGTAGAGACTACTTAGAAGATAGAGAGAATATAACTAAGTACTGTTTGCTGCAGTGTCTTAAGAAGCTGTAGGTATTTTATTGCGTAGCGGGTTATGCCATACAGTTGATGTATAGTCTATACTGGGTATAACATATACTTGGTAGAGCTGGCGTATTTGCTCAGGTCTAAGATGTTAGAGCCTACTTAGAATAATAATGATTTTAGTTATCTATTTCACTGTATGTTGTATATGTTCTTTCTATTATATCTCTGTATCGAAGGTGATTCTTAGTAGTTTGGCTGTGTCTGCTACTTTGATTACTCTATTTTATTCTATTCTATTTATATATCTAGTTAGGCTCTGTCTAGGACTTTTTATATGATAGAATAACCTAACTATCGGAAGTAAGATCATCGGGATGACGTACTACAGTGGTTATGAAGTCGTGAGGTCATCGATAGCGAATCTACACCTCCCCGATACCTATAAGGTGCCGATTCCTTTGCAGAAGACTATTGATCCTTCAAGGATCAGTCTATTTCGTGGATATAGGCTACCTTTGTCATTACTAGACGAATCCATGGTGTTTAGTGGTTGATTCCTTACCTAGTCGACAGGCCTTCTACCCTGACAAGTAGATCCTATCACATTTAATAAGCTATTTCTAATATTATAGTTATAGATAGATTTATTAGTCAAACTATATCTTTGAATAAGAAGAAATAGTCCAGCTATTTCTTATATTCATACGAGATTCTTTTGTGTGTGCTAAGCTAGCGCTAGTTTTAGTAAGTAGTATGCGACGCCTCAGGCATCGATTGACTGGTGCCTGAAGCTGAGCTCTATACCGTGGCCATGGTCCTATAACATCCTGATCCTATAATCAGGCGACTAAGTTAGGCCCTAGCTGGTGATCCTCATGGGTCAGTCTTCTAGGTATATATAGGCTATGTCATCAATCGGCAGCCTCATTACAGGCTGCCATACAACATTCCTTGCCCAGTCGATACGCCATCTACCCTGATAAATAGATCCTCTCAAAAATACTCGGAATTAAACCTACATTCAGAGCAGAGTGTAAGAGGAAGATGAAACAAGCATATAATGAAGCGGACTGGACGGTGATAAGACATAGTGGATTCTCTTAAACCAGGACAAGTCGATTGGAGAATAAATCATGTGATTTAGACCACCATCCTGATTATTGAGTTACGTATTGCAATAATCACGTTGCCCTTATATCCTATACAATAATTTATGCAGATCCGAAAGTCTATCATATATATGTTGGCTATTCTATGAAATTCTCTCCTCATAACCTAAGGGAACTCAGTTTATCTTATGTAGTGATGCTCGCAGATGACGACTGATGTGGCATTTCTCACATCATACTAATCATGTACAGGCATTCAACCAGGACGTATTGAGATGGGACGAGACCAGGGCAAGAGCAAGGAAAGCCTCGCTAATACTGCTCCTGTGCCAAAGATCAGTCGGTCATAGCAGGCAAGCCAAAGAGCCGTGTGGCGTTTCCAGCAGCAATAGCCATTCGGGTGCTTTCATTGAGTTCGAGTCCATCGAACCAATCTGCTGCATCCTCGTTGCTCTCATAAGGATAATCCACGCTGAACATCACGCGTGATTCGCCAAGCTCTTCGATTGTGTTTTTCATTGTGCTGTAGCGACGAACACCGGCCAATGTGGCATAGAAATGATTCTGGAAGTAGTGCATCAAAGAATGTTTATGTGCACCATTACTACCTGGAGTGCCAATTTTCATTCGCTGATCCGCTCGATGAATAATAAAGGGAAGTGCTTCGGCACAGTGACCCAGTATGATCGTTACAGGATACTTGTCAAGGATTCCAGAGCACATAATTCGAAGAGCATGGCCTGCGCACTCCACACCAAAGCCATAAGATGCGGAGACAAGGTTGGGATATTGGCTATACAGAACTTGCTGATTAACTGGAGGCAATCGTGGATGGATATAGAGTGGAACTTGAAGCTGATGAAGCATTTTCCAGAACGGTTCGCACTCTGGCGCATCAAGATACCGTAATCTCTCGTCGCGGTCGTCCAAGTTGGTAAAACCATTGATCAGAGCGCCTTTAGCGCCTAGTTGTGACACAGCTCTTTCAAGCTCTTTGGCAGCTTCCTCTGGATCATGCATTGCAACGCACGCAAAAAAGCCAAAGCGGTCCGGATAATTTCGCACGTATTTGTTATAGATTGCGTTGTTGGTCTCGCGAGCAAAGTAGATGGCCGTTTCTGTATCACTGACTCCTTCAATCCCAGGTGATGTCAGACTAAGAATGGCATACTGCACGCCGCTTTGGTCCATGGACTTGAGCCGAAGCTCGACATCATCTAATCTGCTCTCGACATCTGCGAGGAATTCGGTACTAAACGGCAGTCCATCCAGATCTTTGATCACTGGACGAGGTGGATAATTCTGATGTGCAGCGAATAGAGGACTTCCCACAGCTTCCTCCAGGGCAATCTTTCCGGTCCGCCGAACAATCGGAATGCTTCGGGTGGTCTCACGATTCATAGCCATTTCCAAGGGAATCGAACAGTCGTCCAATGGAGAAAGGGAGTTGCAAGAAGACGTGTGAATTAGAGATGGAAAAAATGCCTGCAGTTGGTTGGGTTAGTTCATGAAACATGCGCTGAAGGATATCTCTTATCATTTTTCCTTCCCGTCGATGTCCGGGGACTTCAACGAATTTGACGCACATACCATGTGGAGAAGGTGGAGAAGTAGTTTTCATGCCGACGACCGTCCCACACTGTGGGGAGGGTAGCCGGAAACATCCGTAATCTAGTGTTCCTTGGGCGAAGGTTCACTCGGCTTGGCCACGTTCAAATCGTGACGCAGAAATGTATCTAACAGTATTTTACTTCTGCCTTGTTTATCCACCTCGCTTTATAGCATATTCCGAACACAAAATGTCGTCCGCACCAGCTACGTCACATGACTTTGGGTTGATCATCGACAACCTTGACCTTCCCAGACGTGAAACATTTCCTGTTCTGAATCCCGTCACTAGAGCGGAATTACACTCAGCACCTGCAGCGACAGAGGAGCAAGCTATTCAGACTGTCGAAAGCGCTGAGTGAGCCTTCAAGAAATGGCGCGAAACAACTCCCATTCAACGCCGCGAAATATTGAACAAAACAGTGGATATTCTTCAACAGCGAAAGGATGAGCTAGTGCGAGCTATGGTACTAGAAACAGGAGCAAAGCCTACCTGGGCTGCATTCAACATCAAACTTGGAACGGAGTTTGTGATGAAGGCCGCAGGGATGGTCACATAAATAAAGGGTGAAATGTTGCCGAGCAACGACAAAGGCATGTATGAGTTTTCTTATAAAAAGTATTTTCCTTCGGCTAACTAGTTAGATAGGCACTATGTCTCTTGTGTATAAGGAATCTTGCGGTGTGGTTTTGGGTATCGCTCCATGGAACGCACCCATCATTCTGGGCATTCGCGCTTTCATTACGCCCCTTATTTGTGGCAATATCTGTATTCTCAAAGCCTCTGAATTGAGTGCCGATACTCAATACCTCATCGTGGACTGTTTTCGTCAGGCAGGCCTTTCAGCTGGAGTTTTAAACTTTATCTATTGCCCTCGAGAAAGGGCCGGTCTGGTAACGGAGACAATAGTCGCACATCACGCTATAGCGAGGGTCAACTTCACAGGTAGTACCGCGGTTGGTAGAAAAATCGGGCAAATTTGTGCTATGTATTTGAAGCCAGTTGTTTTGGAACTGGGTGGCAAAGCTCTAATAATCATCCTGGAAGATGCGAACTTGGAAGAAGCTGTCAAAGCAGCTGTGTTTGGTGCCATGCAGCACCAGGGCCAGGTTTGTATATCTACTGAGTGAATTATTATCCATCGCTCTATTGCAAATAAGTTCAAGGAGCTGTTTAAAGCCAAGGTCGATTCTCTTTACACAAGTGATCCTTTGTTAGATTCATCTGCTCCGCTTGGCAGCCTTATTAATGCCGCCGCTGCTACTTGCATTCACAATCTTCTCTAGAATGCAGTCCAAAATGGTGCCATTGTATCCGCCGGACGAGTCTCGGTTTCTGGAGCAATTGTACAGCCCGTTGCTCTTTCAGGCATAACAAAGGAAATGGATTTATATTATTAAGAATCATTTGGTCCTGTTGTAACCCTATTTGAGTTCGATATAATCGACGAAGCTGTTAAACTGGCCAACGATACAGAGTATGGTCTAGTTTCATCTATCTTAAGTACTGATATTTTGGTGGCCTTGAAGGTTGCAAGACGGATCAAGAGTGGCTCTTGCTATATCAATGGACTAACTATTTATGATAAACCTCACTTGCCGCTGGGAGGCCAGAAGGCGAGCGGGTACGGGAAGTTTGGGGGTACCGCGTGTATCAACGAGTTCACTGAAGATAGAGTGGTCACTATTGTTGGCGAAGGAGAGCATCAATTCCCTATCTAAATGTCAGATTTGCCTTGTACGAACGCCTAGAAAAGAACGGACGACGTACATAATTTGTTAGTGGAACTTCTTAAGGAGCTTGAAAAACAGTTTGATCCAATTATATTCGCATCACATTCTCTATAGAGGTAAGCCTAGGCACAAGTGCTTTCAAAGCAGAAATAGCCAAGGCCAGCTTCACAGGTGCGGATCGAATCCCATTGAATCCAGATAGGCTGCTTAGTCAATTGAATGTTCAGCTAAAGACCCTTACACCACAAGGCAGTGATTCAACCAATTTAGAATCAGAAAAGCCTAGAAAAGTAGGCATCTAGAATGAAAAGGCTACCTCGGATCTAAATAAACAAAGCCCTTCATCTTCACTAGAAACGCGAATACCTAAACTCATCGCTACCTGCGCCTGCATAGACCATAATATCGGTGGAGTGGCGGGCCAGCTCGCCGTACTGCGTACCCAGGCCATGACCTTGTACCACTCCGTGTTATTCCCATTAGAGGTTTGCGGCCCTTGGAGGTGGCTGCTTGGGTCCTGAGGATGTTGTGCCAATCGGCATAGCGGTGGCGGTATTCCTCCTGCAGGGTGCAGTTCGCAGCCTGAAACCCGTTGCATTCGTCTAGCTTGAGGGAGTCGATTCCCCTTTCGGCGAATGTGGCCGCTTCGAGGGCTTCGTGGGCGTAGGAATTTACACCTTGATGAGCCTATCATAGCGCGTGGGGGAATACGTGAGACACGTATTTCTACTGAAAGAAAAATCCAAAAGCGAAGCTTGCTATACGCAGTTAGCGAAGCAAATCCATTACAAGAATCAAGTCCATGACTCTAAGGGTATAATGTCTAGAGATCCTACTCTTGCAGCATTGAGCCATGCGTACAACCACGCCGCGCTACAAAATTGCCATATTCCTGGACATAAGCTATCGCAATATCCTCGTAGAGTCTCTAGCTATATCTCATATAATAACGAAATACTTCTGCCATTCAGGGCACTAGTATTTTGCGCTGCCGGCAGATATTCGAGTCAGGTACGCAGCCCGCTTACCGGCTACCTTATGCTTGCCTATTGCGACTACTGACTCCTCAGCTTTACGACTGCCGAAGAGTGCCGAGACCTGAACACGCAGAATTGGGTCTGCATGCTGTCAAAAACTTACATCGAGTATCCAAAGCTGAAATATGAAGAATAAGATATTCGTGGCTCATCCCAATCGGTCCTAAGACTTGACGTTGATGCCTATCTAGCTCACCCAATGCTTCCCATCTCTAAGCCTTCCTTCAACTAGCTTAGGACGGGTTTCCCGTCAAAAGGGATTTCATTCAGGAATCCCCAATGAATCTAAACTTTCCATTTCTTTGTCTTCCAAGCATTCAGGTTTCCAAGTGGAACCGCTGGGAACACCTCAGCCAGCGTTGAATTGTGAGCAATTTCAGTATAGCCAACGTGGTGATGACTCCAGAAAATAGCATCAATGGTCATAGGGTCACCACCTCCTTTTGAGAGAATCTAGTCGATATCGCTAGCGATGCGCATGCCCTGAACTCCTTTTAACTTGATGGCATGAACAGCACTGAGAGGAAGATTCCACCAATATAACCGCGCTCCCATATCAAACAGGATCTTCTTCCCCAGCCCTGATGGTGAATATAGAATGCATAAGTATGAAGACTCAAGTAGTCATGGCCCTCAATCTGAGGCAGAACTAAAGAAGAGGAAATAACCACGAGAACGTTCGTGATCTTGATAAGAGAGATCTCACATATATCGGAGGCATGAGGGGTATTCAAAGACTGTGTCTCAAACACTTTGGATGTAGTCAGCCTGTTCGACATGTTGCATGTTTTAAACAATCAATTGAACCTGACTGACGCGAATTTGAGACGGATGAGCTGATATTCAAAGCTATAGATAATGAGGTCTTATCTGCATTCCGGCTTCTGCCTCCGGCATATGACGGTGAGAAACTATACTTGTTTTTTTGGAAAGATAGTATCCCTTTTAAGGAACGCGTACGAAAATTTGATGACAGAATACAGCTAGGTATACCGATTTCGCTGATAGTTATCTTAATCCCGATCAATTCCGAGATCTTAGTAGGGGATGTCCGGTTTGGGCATAGCGTCAGCCTTCTCCACGATAGCTGCCCCGCGAAGCTGGCACTGGGAGGGGACAAACCGATGGGTCCCATGTGGGGAATACGGGCAAAACAGATTTGACCACGGTATGACATAAGTGAATAAAGAGAGAGTCCGACTGAGTCTCGCTTAGAGGAAGTACCGAACACCGAGAAAAAGGGGCGAGCAGGGCTGATCATCCCTGGGCTTCCTATTACACATGCTCTAGAACGTTTACAAATCTGTCTTGAGTTTGATTGGGCCAGCAGACTGGCAGATTGAGTTTCCATTATGCAACACAGCAGTGTCCCCTAGACAATCTCCAATTTCTTTCACCTCCGCCAGGGTAGTCTATGAAAGTGCACCCTGTTACTTAATTTACAACCTTATTTTTGGATAGGGAATTCTTCTATCACACTGAATGTTATCCTCATCAATACAACAGGATATTATCCATTTCGCGCCACAAATGTTGAACTTTCTCAACTACCACTGTATGACAACTTCCTCGCCCTTATTGTCTATCAATCAAAAGAATATCGATTCCTTAGAGGCTTCCCAGCTATCATGAATATAGTCATGTAGGAAAGCATTGCTCCCGTTCGCTATCCTTTCAATGCACGGTCTACTATGCTTACCAACGTCGTGGCTACCTATGGGCTCTATCTCCCTGTGATCTTCTTTTACCAAGTCGTCTGGTTTGGACTGTCCTCTGTTATTTTCGGCTTCGCTCTAGTGTGGATCCATGGTATCATGATCAACATGAAACTTGGTAGTAATTACAACCCTGAGCTTACAGCACTGGTACCAACAATTGTTCTTATCGGCCTCAAGTATATGCAATACATGCAAGAAAGGGGTGTGATCACACCAAGAGACTGGGTACTCGGCAGCTTGGTGCAGTTTTGTTTGGTTACGGTCTCCTCAAAAGCACACTTGGCTGGCTCCCTGATTACGATACCGTGTATCCTTTCACTCAGGCCGAGATGCAGAGATGGGGTGCCAGGCTTGCAGGATTAGCCGGATCAGGAAGAGGCTGGGGGCCTTCGGAACCTTCCGGAGGCCGAAATCGTACCGGACTAGTTTTCTTGATTAACATGCTCAGGAAGCTGCTTGAAGCGTTGATAGTGGGCTGTTTCTCGTGGGCCGTGGAGGAGATCAATCCGCTGCCGAGTACATGTTGCAGAATCGTCAAGGCATCTCTTTCGGCCACGCAGACATCTGAGTCTGGCAATACGGTAACAAAGTAGAGAAGCTGCTTTTGGGTAGCTTATGGCCGCACGAAAATGTCACTCACCAGCGAGAGCTGCACAATTTGCGACATAAGGGTTGATCTCTTCGTACCGTGGGTGCGGCAGTTCTCCTCTGACAGAAGCGCCCGTATCAAGCTAAGCGGATTTGTCTGCAAACGTAAGGTAACCGGGAAGCGAGTCGGCCACCTTCAGTTGAAGCTATACTTATACTTTACGAATTTATAGTTTAAGGATAAACAATATAACAGGAGCTATACTAAGTATAATACTTCTTAGCTGGAATTCACAGTTCTTTAATGTGACAGAATAAGTTGGCCAGGTGGGTAGTATCATCAGGGTGACGTAGTATAGTGCTTATTGAAGTCGTGAGGTCATCGACAGCTGTCCTGTACGCTTCCGCTATGCATGATAGGGGTCCCTATCGTTAGATTACTGATACCTCAAGGATCAGTCTATTCTGTGGGAGTAGGCTACCTTTATCACTATTGTACGAATCTACAGCGT